ATTAACCCTGGAAATAATTATATTATCTTCCGAACTCCTTTTTTGAGTTGACACGAGTTTGTTGACACGTATTTCGATGTTCCATCATCAGCGTTTCGACGACCTAGAACCTAGACGTATTTTATTTAACTTTGAAAAATGACAAAGCTCTCGGCGTTGATCAATCCCTCAGGAAAGCGCCATGCATTCGACTTCATTAAGCAACGTTGGAGGTGACTAAATGCATATCTGGTTTTACAATGACTCGCGGTGACCTGTCGATACATCGAGCCAGTGCTGCTATCCTCTCAGAGAAGTCTGATGCAAATCTACCGAATCCGGACGGATGGAAGGCTTGGTGGACCAGGAGCGCAGGAATCGGTCACATGTGTGTTGCAGGGGCCTCTAACCAATGTGCTACACGCTTCCCGTTTTATTTCACCTCATCCTCAGTGATTTCTCTACGGTGTCACTGATGATGTAGCGTACAAAGAAATACTAATCTTTTCACAATATGCAACTTTTATCTAGTGCTCATTATTTTTTCACGGCAGGGTATTATGTGAAATACAACGTTAAGATAAAAAGAATGACTAAGAGAAAGGCAGAACGAGGGCCTCAGTGGTGCCGTGCATAATATGTGACCCCCTCTTCACGAAAGGGTAATCGCGGTTTGATCTGGCCTGGGTTCCAAGTCTTGCAAACGGATCTTTCCATTCATCCTCACTCACAGTTTCCATGTTTAGCAGATAAGGGTATAACGAGGCATCGACCGCTTAAGGAAGAACTAGGTGTAAATCAGATAAACGAATACAAATAGGAAAATGACACTCTACAAGACGTAAGTCATTAATTGGAAAGAAATCAAAGGGATCATTCTAGCGAAGACTACTTGACAATTCATTTTTAATTTTTCTTAAACTTTAAAGTAATGAGATGTTGTCAGCTAACTGACAAAATCAACGAAGAACGGTAAGGTCTGAGACGACGTTGATCAAACTGATGGAAGTATTCCCTTGCAAGACACCATCAGAAATTACACGTCGCATGGACGTCGACCTAATCCAGCACATTAATCGGACCTTTACAAGCAAATATCGCTTTCTCAAGACCTTTGATACTTGTAAAGAAAAAATTACGCATATATACAAAATAAATTTAAAAAGTAATTTATGAGGAGATGAATCAAGTGAAAGGATGCCGGGATCGATGCAATACATGGGTGACTTTGCGTCATCTAAAATTCTTATGTATATGTATATATATATATATATATATATATATATATTTCGAAACCGACTTTTCTTGAACCTCGGTATCACTAATCAATATGTATTCTTTCTTTGATGAGCTTACACGAGGTTGATAATGATGTTTATTTTCGGCTAACGTTTCGACGTCTTCGCTTTCCTCAGAGCCGATGATCCGAGTCTATGGTGCACAGTCGTTCGTTTTCTCAACATAGTGTCTTCGTAGCCGCATCAAGTCGAATCTTCTTGAGTTCAGAAACACTCGAGCAGCTCTTTCCCGCTATTTTTCCACAAGACTGGGCCGAAGTGAAGATGACATTACGAAAACCTTTTAATTGGCAAGCGTTTCAGCGCTTCGTCTTCTTCAGAGCCGCGTTGATAGAAGTCGGAAGCGTCGAAAAGTTATCCGAATAGGTTTTCTTTGTAGCAATCTCGCGCCAGCTCAATTATGTGGAAAAATATTGATTATTTATGCTGAGGTTCAATGGAAGTCGGCTTTTAAAACCTTAAAGTTATGTTTTTTAGGGGGCGGATAGAACCATGATAGTGATGCCCGTCATCACAAGCATGGTGCTAGTTCGATTCCACTTCGGGCCAATCAACTCCGGGGTCGGGGAATCGATGCCGGACTTGTCTGGCAAAAAATCACTCTATGCAATCCAATCAGGAACGCTTCAGCCAGGCTATCTCAGGACTCCAGGGAGAATTGCTCTACCAGTATTCTACGACATTCAAGATGAAATGAAAATCCTCAAGCAGCAACCGAAGCCACACGTAAAGTTGGAAGATCTTTGTGGGCAATGGATGCGAGGAAACGAATCGAATGTGAGATGTGCTAGGATCCGTACATCCGTAGACATGAAGACGGGTCAAATGAAATAGAAGAAATAGTAAAAAAGTTATCTTTATCTTTCTGTTGAGACATACCCAGTGGCGTCGTTTCTAAGATGGCTATGGTACTAAGCGCGAACAAAAAGCGATGTGCTTCCCCTGTATGGTGGTGGATCCGGGAAATGGACTTTCTGTTTCTGGTGCCCGAACTGGGCAAATATCTTTCGTGTTCACATAGATTTCTCCATATATTCTTGGCTTGGCTGTGTTCGGATAAATGTAGATCGTATTCTACAAGTTATTTCGGCCAAAACCGTAGAATCCAGAGGATAAATATGCATAGGAAATGGCTAGGGGTAAAAATTTGACAAATAACCTCCTCGTCCACTCAAAGTTAGACTGACAAGCAACCTGTGAGTACATCCAGTCTCCACGATGTGATTTCGGCAATGGCCATTATCAATGGCCAAACAGCGAAATACGCGGGCCTATTCTTCACGCTTCAAAAGCCCTCAGTACGGTATCGTTGAGTAGGACGCGTGCACATTGTTGGAGTCTCCGTGAACACGAGTTTGGCCACGAACATTGATTCTTTTAAACAACTAACAACCCAGATCGGATGCTTCCGGTTGAAGAGATGGGGACCAGCAATGGCTTCGACACCCATCGTCGTATACACGCCTAGATCAAGATAGGACAAAGACGAAGTCGATTCCTTCTTTATGGAAATGCGAAAATTCTAAAGAGAAGACAATGGCTTTTTCAAGACCATCGCTAATGATTCTAACGCTAAAACGAACCTAGGAGAACGTAGAAGAGCTTCACATCGGAACACATGGATTGGAAGAAAACAAACAAGTTGACAGGTAGACCGACTTTACCATGATGTTCAAAACTATCCAAAGTAATTCAAAAATCTAAACATTCTCCTCTTAACGCTGGACTTTGAATTTTCTCAGTGAGTGTAAAAAAGGATAAATGATGAAGCTCTCAAAGTTGATCAATCTCTAAGGAATTCGACTTCATTAAGCAACGTTAGAGGTACTGGTGTTTACAATGACTCGCGGTGGCCTCTCAATGTATCGAACCAGTGCTGCTATCCTCCCAAATAAGTCGGGTACCAATTTGGCGACCCCGGAAAGATGGATGATTTGGTGAGTTTGGAGCGCAGGGTTCGATCTCATGCGTATGCCAGGGCGCCTCCTACCACTGTGTTATGTTACATGCGCCCTCTCTCAGTGAGTATACCACAACGAAATAAACCATGCTACAGCAAAAGGTTCTACCTCACCGATGTCGTCGCCGTCACAAAATTTTATACAGTGTAGGAACAGTGCCTCCTTGACGCAACATGCAACCATTCATACAACCACAAAACCATTAAAGTGAGGCTTGCTCCGAATGTTATTTAGGCGTTGGAAAGATGCTATTAACAACACCAAAAAGAAATACGAGTTTCCAGCCAATATTTGAAACGATTCTAGCAAATCTACGAGTTTGAAAGCCAATAAATTGCCTCTTTCTACAGAAATGTACGACCTTGTATGGGAAATTGGATTCAGAAAAAAATCGCCAGTTTGAACTGAAGCATCCAAAACTCTGTAGAAAGACGATATGAAAAGATCGTAAAGAGAAGGTAGTACCAGCAATGGTTCAAGCTGCAAAAATTGAGAAAAGCATTCGCAACGCCCGCAAAACTTCGCCAACTACAATACTAAGATAGTCGATTCTCCTCTAACACCCACAGCGCATTACTACTTCTACAGTAGCAATAAATAAAATCGTTAACGAGAGGTACTTCGACTTCTCAAGTTGCCAAGTACTCTTTGGGCGGTGAAACGTCGTATTAACACCCAGTACTGACAGGACCAAACTCAAACATCTGAGGAACTTTCTGCCAGTCTTTAACAACACAAAAACTTGGTTTTTACAGGTTTGAATACGAAGTTCCCAACCAAAAAAACACAAGTAAGACCGTCCTGCTTCACAAAAAAAGGAAACCTAAGCGACATTAACAATTAGCATAGCGCCAACCTGCTGTCGGTTTTCTACACTCTTCACTGGCTATCTCCTCAAATGATAGAATACTAGAGCAGGACTTACTAGGGATTCAAAACTAACTCAGCATGGTATTGTAATATTCTAACATATTCCAGCACGACAGACCACAATTGGTCACAATCACACGATGAGAAAACTTACTGATGTATCGGAAGAGTAACAGACACTGGTTTGTCTCACTTTTATCGACTTAGAAAAGACCATGCTCGAGTTCGGCTAGCAAAATATAAGTCAATTCATTGAAATAATGACTAGCTAAACAAATCGATCTCCATCTAATGGCATGTATCACATGGTCACCTATTACATGGCTCTTCGTTTTAACCACGTATCTACCAAGCGTGTAATGGTCACGTACTCTTGACTACTCGACTTAAGATCACTCATATAATAGACTATATAATATAATATAATAGATTCGCGAAGAGATATCTGTAATAATTATCCCGAAAGAATAGGTTTTAATGGAAACAGAGCCTGACTGCGTCAAGAGCAGGATATATTTCACTGACCCCTTCCGATGAACTGGAACCACGCGGAAAGGTTTCCTACTTCTCTAGCACCAGAATTACTAGGAGTCACATTCTACATATAGCTTTAAAAGAAATCTCTGTACATGCAAAACGAAATGTCTTTATGAACGCTAAGATAATAATCAAATGCACATAACATTAAACCTAGATCAGAAAACTACACGACTATTACTAAATTGTGCTCTGAATTACAGAGGTTAGCTAACAATAGGCAAACTTCTTTAACGCTTCCTGATTCGGACACTAGCTCACTCAGCTGCTCATAAAGGAGGAGTACACTATGCTAAAATGACGGAAACATGTACAAAACTAAAGGTGGAGTTTAGATGAATACTGAAAACACAACCTATATTTGTGTGAAATATTTGTTATTTGCGTACAGTTGATGATCTGGGCCAACAGACACGGCTCCACATTGCTCACGAAGGAACAATCGAGCTCCCCTCTTCAAACCGTAAGGTGATAAATAATCCCATGCGGAATGCCAGTTCACAAATGATGGTGCATATGGAAGGAAAGACACAGCAAGGCCTGCAAATGAAGAACGTGGTTCATAAAAACAGCAAATTATAGAAAAAGGACAATTTGTAAACGGTTACCAGATCCTGCGACAGCCATCACAGTACTGACAACGTGGTATGGATATCCAAAAGAGTTCACCACAAATGGAATAGCGAGGTTTGTAAATTTACGGAGATCCTCAACTTCCTAGAACACTTAAAATTCTCAAAACAAAAGGACAAAGTACAAAGCTCTCAGCGTTGATCAAACTCTGGGAGATGCGCCATGCATTCGACTTCATTACGCACCGTTGGAGGTGAATGAATGCATATCTGGCCTGCACAATGACTCGCGGTAGCCTACCGATGTATCGGGCTAGTACTGCCATCCTCCCAGACAGTTCTGGTAGCAATTTGCCGACACAATGTGCATTGCAGGATGCCTCCGACCATTACGCTACAGGCGACCCTTTTTCGTACACCACAGCACGATTTAAACAATTGATCAAACCCTCTTACCTTTACACTCTTTTCATCCTTCTTCTCATACATACCAGAATGAACGAACGCTCTCTCTGCTGCAAACACGAGTGCAGCAGTACCAAAAACAACAATAACTTCTCCCACTAGTTGTGGTACAAGACCGCTAAAAAGTAGCTATGAAGATACTTAGTAGTGCATTGTGAGGAATAACTGAACCACAACCGCCGAACCTAAACAAACCAGGAGGACCTTCCTCAAGGCCGATAACATGTATGGTTGGCACTACTCCACGGTATTTGGTTTCACTTCCGATAAGTTGTGCAATCTGACGAATCATCGCCACTAAACAGTAATAAACATACCACCTTGAGTCACTGCTAAGTCGTACAAAACAGTAAGTGAAAAGAAAGTACCTGTTAACGGTCTAGCTACTGTCAAAGTTACCACACGAACGAAAGACTCACGAATTGCTCCGCGCAAATGTCGTTTTAGAGACTGATGATTAGTAATGGACTGAAACAAAGAACAATATGATCATAGCGCGGTGGCAAAGAACTTACAGAAATCAGATAAGCAAGAAAATCCCGATAAAACACCGAATATTCATGACTTGAGTTCATGCATGAAAAAATCACCTTCTCCTCCTCATTCTCGTTTTCAGGTTTACCACCAATTTCCGGATAGTAGGTGTCAATGTACTAAAAAATTGGAAGCAACGATTTACCAATGAACAAAAACATGACATTGCTGAAATTCAAAACCAAAAAAAGAACACCAAGAAAGCTCAACCTTTCTCGTTTGATAGGATGTTATTCCCTGAATAATGATAGAACATATGGCAGAATCAATTCCCGTGAATAGCACGCCCATACCACGTGCATGTGCCAACTGGCTAGCTGTAATAAATGCAGTGTAATACGAATAACGAATTTGAATCTGTAGGTAACATGGCTACTTTTATCTTACAGCATACAGAGGTAAGCTTTAAAAACATGGAAATGTATACGACAGAAGAGGCAAAATGTAAATTTTAGAAAGAACTGTCTCAGCAGAAACAATGTGTGAGTCTTTGGCAACTTTTTTAAGGCTTGTACGAAAGCGTATTATTAACTATCTTCCCGTTCCGAGATGGACCAGCCAAGAAACTGTCCCGGGTCTCGGTCTGAGCCGAAACCAACAGCATCATCTGTTTCGAAACTTATATGTGCAGTAGACCTTATTGAACCTATCACACTACGACGCCATTTTACATATGAGCGAGCTCTCGTTGATATGTCTTGTTAAAGAGAAACTTGGAAAACTTATGGGTTTAATCGCAAAAAAATCGCCTCTCAAACAAATTTCTGCTAAATTTACTCGATGTAGAAGTGACATTCTACAAGCTTTTGCACGACTACAACATAAAATGGACTTTTTCGCAAACCAAGGGTCGTACCACAAACGAAATGTACTTTGGCAGAGTGCACTCTATACGCCAAAAAGACATACAAAAGTAGCTCCCAGTTCATTAGTAAACTAATCTAATAAAGAACAGAAACCTCATACCATAGCTAAACGCGTTTGGGAGGAAATAGGCATTACGTCCAGCAACAATCAGTGTTTTTCCGGTTGACAACGGGAATGGTTCGTGACCAAGCTGAATGAGCGTTTTCACACAGGTGAGAGGATGAGTCACTGCCGCGAGAAGAACCTTCGCACCAATATTCTTCGCTAACACTTCCTTAAAATTCTCGAGTAATAAATAATAAATCATGTGTAGTAAGTTCCCTAAGCGCACTGAAATAACCAGTATAATGGTCTGGAAAACTAAAAATAGCTGACAGGCTAGCCCTAGTTAATAACTAGCTGAGAGAGAGGCGAAGCAAAGAACCCGCATGGAGTGGCGGTGAGCGCGTTATCCGTCGGAAAGAGTAACAGTGTGTTCGACCCCTACCGCAGACGCCTGCGGTCTGGAATTTTGCAAGTATCTAAGCATCATTGTGGTTAAAAACGGATAAATCACTCTGAAAAGACACACAGAGTGGAAAAAAACGATCAAGCCTTGAAAGATCGTCAGCATGTTCTCTCTATCACGAAACCTAAGACGAAACATCTAACTAACAGTGTTTGTACAACGATAACCCGATATGAGTTAGATGCTGATTCAAATAACCCAAAGGAAAAAAAATCAAAACATCAATAAAGTAGTTCTATGCCCATCCATTTACCGCTCTTCAGAGCAATTTTTTTCGAAGACAACAGAGAACGAAATTCGTGCAGAATTTCGAATTTGATGGAGAGAATTTCCCCTATGCCCGCGCTTAATCTTATTCTGAAATAATGAAGTAAAAAACTCACCTCTTCCTCGTTGAGGCCAAGGAAAAATTCATTTCTGGTTTCCACCATGCTCGATTAACTAAATTAACGCTACGAAGAATAAGAGACCTAAGTAACTATTTCAAGTAATCAACGATTACACGTCAATGCTATATACACCTACAATAAAGAGTTTTATTCATGGCAAACAGACTAGTTCTCGCCATATCAGATCTGTCATACCAGGTCCAATGATTTTATTGCAAGATAAGTCTTTCATGCACAAGTAACAAAATTTCCAACGAAATCCAAAAACATTGAACATTTTCATCCTAAACATCAGAAAATCCAATAACACCCATCAAACACCGGTAAAAAATCTCGATAACGACCACCATCAAGAACTTATATGACCATGAAACTCATGAATGAAACAACAAGAAATTTCTACTGTCATTCAACATGGATATTAAAATGCTATCAGTAAACAACCATACGATGACTATTCGGATTGGAAAATACGAAGACAATTAAACATAAATCATGAGCTGAAAACACATCCCAGAATACGAAGCATCTCCTTTTCTAATCGAAAAAATGGTGCACTTGAAATATACGGCACTGGAACAGTCAGTGGCTCAAACGAGGAAAATAACAGAACAAATTCTCCTTCTCCAAACACAGGAACATTGTACTAAATATGACAGTTTACATGGGAACAATTCAAAGATAATTTTTCAACGCTTATTTATTGCCTATTCTTTGTCCATGGGTGTGTACCAGGCAAAATACAACCACAAGGATGCTGAGATCTCACCAAAACTCGCAACCTCTGATGGGCTTCGAACCTGCGATCACCGCTTCCGAAGCACACGTTCAATCAATCACACCAACCGTGGCTAATTCTTTGCCTTTCTCTCAAAGACGTTTTCACTCCATCGATGTTATCAGCAATCATCTGTTAACCAGAATGATCCGGAGACCACAAACAGGCATTGAGTGTAGTCATGTTGAATATTAGCTAGACAACCCGATAGCCGAATATCGCTGCCATAAATATGCAGTTTGAATGTTATTCTTCGACGGATTTAAAGCCCATATAGATTCCCGAGATCTGTTCATATCTCAACATCCTTGTGCTTCTAACTCCATGATATTTTCCAACTGGATCAAAAACTCTTTAGTAATCTACTAAACCACCTCTACGAGAAAATCTTGGAAGGATATGCAATCTTCAACATAGACGCGCCCCATAATGCTGGTAGGTGAATAATCACGTTGTCCACTACTCACATCACCTGAAGCGACAATAACAATGAGGATATAATAGAGAAAAAAGAATACCCATGAATATGAACAAACCGAGTTGGTACTTCTGCAGGAAGTCCACAACACCTTTACTATCCACTGAATGAACAGTAGAACACACAACGATAGGACCTTTAAGATTAATATCTTCAAACCAACGAATGTATCTGGAAAAGAAAAATAATGGTTTCATACAGATGAATAACTCGCTACCATTCCACAACCACCACCGATAAAACTCTTGGCGTTCATTAATCCTTGAGGGATGCACCATACATTCGAGTTCATTAAGCATCGTTGGAGGTGACTGAATACATATCTGGCCTTTAGAGCAACCACAAGGATGCTGAGATCTCACCAAAACTCTCAATGTGTCGAGTCAATACTACTATCCTTCCAGACAAGTCTGGTACCAATTTGCCGACCCCGCAGAGATGGAAGGCTTGGTGAGCCGCCGGCTCAGGGATCGATCCAATGTGTGTGTGTTGCAGGGCGCCTCTCACCACTGCGCAGCACGCGCCCTCCACCACTACAACTGGTTTAAGATATGTATTTGAACGGAATACGATATAGAAAAACACCTCACTTCACAACACCGTGTACTGCAAGTGAAGCGCACGGCTGAGGAAGAGCCATAGCATATCCTTGACGTTCTACCTCATATTTTCCGATTTCTTCATTCATACGAGAAATGGAATCGACATCAGAAAACTGACTTGCATTCGATTCAAAATGGGTTCCAAATGACTCATCATACTGAAAACTCAATAAACAATGGTGAAATCATCCAAGTAAGTTTTGTCGCATCTATGCTAAAATAAATGCGACCACTTTTTATTCATTGCTTATTCCTTCTTCATAGCAGAGTATGATGTGAAACACAACTACAATTATGATGAGATATTTGAAAAACTCCGAACCGCAGATGTCTGCAACGGTGATTGAACCTCGCTATTATCATTTTCTGAGCATCATTGTAGTTGTATGCTATCATTATTCTACGTCAAAAACATCCACACGTAGTGAAGTTTATGACAACATACCTTAGGAACGAATCCTTTGGGAACCCAATGCGCATTCATCGCTGCCTTATTTGCAGCATTCTCAGCTCGCTGTCTTTCATTAGACTTTTCGATGATTGATTCTATTACAGGATCATACAGGGCGTCGACATTCACACCATTATACTGAAAATGCAAGAACTGTATATAAAAGACGCATCTATTGAAACGCCAACTAATACTCATCAACCTCTGAACGGATATCGACACTGTTCGCACTCAAATCAATTACTATATTTCTGCGACGTTTCTCTCTGATTTCTTTCAGTTCTAAACGGCGCCGTACAATCATTTCGCGTTCCTTAAAAAAGAAAATTAGAAAACATAACTACAACGTTGTTGAGATATGTGCGAAACTCCGAACCACAGGTGTCTGCGATGGGGATAGAACCCGTTACTACCCTTTCCGAGGGCTAACGTGTTCACCACCACACCATCCGAGTTCTTCGTTTAGAAAATATGTCTGCATTCTCCAAAATATCAGTGCAAAGCCAACCTCCGATGTTAAAAAAGGACTGTTTTCAATAGACGAGTAGTCACTTTCTAGATCGTTAACCTTTGTACGACGATCACTAAAACTACTACCTTTGCAAATTCAACGAATTCCGTTTAAGTTCATTTTCATAATTAGAAAAAAAGACAAGAAAAAGAAAGAAAAGTAGAGAAAACAATACGAGTCAGCATCGGCGGCGATGAGCATATTTCTAAAATGTGTGGCCTTTTGCAATTCCGATCCAATGGATGATAAAGAGCTCTTGTTCGTGGATCCGCCATCATTATTCCTCTTCAATCCCATTAGCTGACTAAATAGTTCATCGCTCTTTTGAGAGCCTCGGTCCAAAACCTAAAATAATCTTTTATTGAAAAGACTTGTACGAAACCACCCTATCAGTGGTCTAAACAAGGAAAGCACCCAAACCTGCGCGGCTATAGGTCAACTCAATTCATCACCCACACATATTCCCTCATTCGCTCACTAGATTCGATAATTCGTAGCCATTGGTTTTTCGTTCATTAACATCGTAAGCAATCATACGAAATAAGCACATCACGGTATCTAACTTCGATCGTCAATAGCCTGGTTGATAACTAACCGACCATAAACTGCTCTACCAAGCTGGTTCACTTCTGCAGTTAGTCCAGGTGCCGTCGCATTCAAATCTGTTTGGCGCTGTTTGTACGTCTCAGATGGCCAGATATGTTCAGTGAAATTCGATACACCTTTGTAATTCTATCAAAAGAGAGGTAGTCATGAAAAACAATGATCGTGAAGCTTACACCAAGACTGCAGTCAAGAAACACAATGCACCATGAAAATAAATGAAATACTACAATATTCGGCATCTGTAGATGTCTTGAGCAGCTGTTCTTGACGATCTTTGAATATGATGTGACGACTACCACGAACAGAACGTCCATCAGAAGAAGGGACAAGTATCCAGACATACTCATCGCAACCCACAGTCATAAGGTACACTTCTCACTCTAGTTCACATCCCCAACTGAACTGAGAACATCCTCTTAGGAAGGAAATAACATCTGGGAGGTGAGACACTGATTAGTATGCAGCAAATACGTGATTAACAGTGTAACGACTGTGGTTTCTTTTTCAGTCATAAAGTGGCTTTCATCACGCACCACTACAGCCCAGTGAATCGATGACTGTTTAAATCATGCTAAAGTCACACCTACTAAGTTATAACGGAAATTCCACTGGACTTTATAGCGATATAAGAAGTGATATGTATAGTTCATGAAATTAAAGGCACGCATAACGAACTTAATGTAAGAATAACGAAGTGATTTTCACTTAGCATATCAAAATCAGACACTCCTACATCGAACTACTTTGTCGCTCGTTAGCCAGACGAAAATCAATTAGAATGACATCTGTGGTCTAGTATCGATCCAATAAAGGAGTGGATCGATAGTCGACCACGGATGCCCTTCCAATCAATATTCATCAGACTAACGAGTCTCAAAGTTGTTTCTTCGAGGTTGGTGTGTAACTAAATGTTCTAATAAAAAGCTATAAATAAATGATGTAAACACTTAGTGAGTAACAAAATGAAGTAACCAACAGTGAAATACTTCTAAGATCGGCAACCATCACCTCTTTTTCCTCTTTGGTACAGACTAGTGTCCCACAGAAAGAGCACGGACCACTACCTTCCTGAGCACACACTATTTTTCCGCATCCCATACAATTCCTGATAAGGGCATGGATTCGTGCTTGACATTTGCACGGATGACGTCCTTTAGAAGACACAGATGACAATGTTTTAACGTTTCCATGAAGAAAGAATAATTTTCAGGACGTACGACGTAAAAAAGATACCTGGAAGAAGCTGATCCCCGATCAGAGCATCCGTTTTCATTGCCAACGAATTCCGTTGGTTAGGTAGACCACCGACTCCACTACTACCTCGACTAACAGCATTACCCTTACGATCACCGCGTCGTCCCATTGAACCACTGAAAATGTAAGATGGTAGATCGCCCGCGGATTTTGGCTGTCCTCCTTGAAACTATCTCTACCATTAGTACAACGATAAATCCAGCAAATAATCCCGAAACGTAGAGCAAGAACAAGCTATAATGAGGTAGCAAGAATATTCGTTGAACATTAATAGCTCTAAGGATGGGTTGACTTGTTCTCCTGAAGAAGAACACACGGAAATAAGTAGTAAGCTCCCTAAAAGGATTCGTAGTCAAACCCACATTCCACCTATAAATCCAGTTTTATTTCCTTCCAGAAATTTACAACTTTACAAGCGAAAAACCGCAGTATTAAGAAGAGGAATCGATTGACGGACCTTATCACTTGCTACACGTAACATTACACAACTCTTCGTTGTGTTGTGGAATCAGGAGGAAATATGGATTGATCGTTACATTATCCTGAGACAGAGCGCAGGAATGTGTGGTTAACCAGGAGTCCTGAAGAATGAGAAAGTTCCACCGAATGGACATATACTTAACTGAATCTTCTCCCAAAAAACAATGAAAAGAGTTGGGAGGTGTTCGGCGGGAAAATGAAGGCTACGATTCTACGTGGTCGAATATTTTAACTTGCAATGTATAACCTTTATCTGCTCCCGTTATTTTTTTATGATAGGGTATCATGTAGAAGACAACCACAATGATGCTGAGGTATGTGGAAAACGCGGACCCCAGGCCAGATTGAACTGCGCTCACGCTTTCCGGTGCGCATATGTTACCCAGTAGACCACTACGGTCTGCATTCTGCCTTTGTCTCAGCCAGTTTTTTTTACCCTAACGATGCTATCAGCAATGTCCCGTCAACGGGAATGATCTGGGAGCACAAATAAATGTTGAACCCAGTTAAGCTGAAGCTGTGGTCGAAATCACAATCTGTAACTTTTATCTACTGTTCTTCCATCGTTGTGGTTGTATTTCAATTCATTTTGTTCCAAAAGCTTTTTTTGCCTTCATATCTACCGTGCGGGTCAATGTCATTGATGGTGGTGGAATCGATTCCCTCTGAACTAGTGGGATAGCCACGCTAGAGCATTCCCAAGCAGACTAGAGGGATTGAATTGTTCCCAGACAAGCCTGTACCGTGGTATCAATTTTCCGACCACGAATTGATGAGAGCTTGGTGAGGCGGTGCGGGGTCGAACCAACGCCGTGCTCGTGCTAAGCGACGTTGTTACTACTGCCCTACTTTCTATCTCGATGTCAAATAACTCGTGATTACTGGTGGGTTTCAGTGAAGTGGAGGAAAAGGACAAACCATTAGCGTCTAGAGTTCATCGATTCAGTGGGACGAGACACGGATTCGATCCCACTCATCGCATCGCAGAGATGATCGAATGAATATTTGGCCTATATGGTAACTCGATCTACAGATTTATCGATCTTCCAGGTGATCTAACGATTCTTTTTTCTCCTCCTCCAGAAAACAAAGCGTTCTGTTTCTTTTCACATATACTCTCACTCTTTTTGTATTCAGTCTTTAGACAGTTTCTAGTTTGTGATTCATGGATTTGAGGTTCCTTCAGGAAGCCTAGCTAAACGTAAACCGATACCAGGATCCACCAGCGTCGTAGTATCAAACTAGTGGCATGTTGTTAAATTCCCCTCCTTCCCGCAAGGCCCGCGACTGCCTGTGGTAGTGACGACATGGGACGCACTTTGGTTAGGCTGACCTCGCGACTTCAGGGAACCACAGTGGGTAAGCCAGCAAAACTCCGAAAAGTGGAGATTACGCTGGAGCTCACACAACAAGTGAGGACGAGCTATCCAAGGATCCAAATAAGATTTGAAGTTAGTTGCTTGTGTTGTTGACTAATATAAATTGCCCTTGGCTTTTATAAATCATCTCTTCTGCTCGACATGTCGATTGTAAGAGCTGATCCTGCCATTATGAAATTCGAAGATAAATCTTGCATTAAGTATTTGTTCCTCACATTGGTTGCTCCATGTGTTTGTAAACCGTATTCCTTCCTTTACCATTTTCCATTTTTTGCAGTTTCTTCTTTAGCACTTAATTTACAATGGTCTAGGCTTCTTGAAATGATATTCTCAAAGCTAAAAATTCATATTGTCTTACTCTTCCGATGTCTCAGAACCACCGTAAACTGGGACTTATTCAGTTCACTAGTCGGCTGTTGGAAAGATGCAGTTGTCGATAACATCGACAAAGAATACGATCGGCTCATTCAACATCTTCAACGGGACGTTCCGCACGTAACATCACGGCTTTGAGGAAGGCGAAGTCGTCGAAACGTCAGCCATCGATCAATAGCATCAAAAACAACGACAACGACAGCGGAGATCTGTACCAACCTCGCGTCAGCTTCAGAAGATCAGTTTATAAGATCACATAAATAAATATATCACCATTCTACAACAACATTAACATAGACTTCAAAAGAGGAGTTAGGCAAGGCGATACCATCTCGCCAACATTTACCGCCACCCTCCAGAACGTCATGCGAACATTGGAATAGGATAATATGGGAGTAAAAATCGATGGTCGGCAGTTACACCATCTTCGCTTTGCTGATGACATCGTCCTTATAACACCAAACATTAGCCTAGCGGAACGTATGCTTGCCGACTTTGATAAAGCCTGTGGAAAGATTGGTCTTCGACTAAATGTCACAAAAACGATGTTTATGACGAACGGATTAGTTTTGTATGCCCCATTCACGCTCAACGGAACGAATATCTCCGAGTGCTCCAGTTATATCTATTTAGGTCTGAAAAACAATATGACGAACAACCTAGCTCCAGAGTTAAGCAGGAAGAAACGAGTGGCTTATCTATTTAGGTCGGGAAATCAGTATGATGAACAACCTAGTTCCAGAGCTGAGCAGAAGGAAACGAGCGGCTTGGGAGCTTTCAAGAGCATCGAGGACGTAGTGAAGGGAACAAAGAACGCCCGACTCCGTGCCCACCTTTTCGACTCAGCGGCACTTCCTGTCCTAACGTATGTGTCAGAAGTCTGGTCGCTGCGTAAGCAGGATGAAAGGTCACTAAGTGCTATCGAAGACGCAGTCGAAAGGACGATGCTAGGAGTATCCCGTTTCACACAAGTAAGGGATGGGATCCGAAGCTCCGATCTGCGTCAACGATCAAAAATCAAAGATGCCGTTCTGTACGCCAAACAGTCGAAGATAAGGTGGGTCGGACACGTAATGCGTATGAATGATAACCGATGGACAAGAGCCGTTAGTGACTAGATTCCTCGCGAAATGGAAGATTTACTGGCGCTCGCTCGAGTCACACTACGATCAACCGGACTACAGGTGATACAGGTGGAATATGTAAGTAAGTATGTATGGTATAATATAATATAATATCCTCCCAACCCTCTCACACAAAAGAGCACTTGTTAGAAATATGTTTTGAACAGCTAGCAGCGTGTGCACAGGAAGACAGCAGAGAGAGGAGTCCCGGAACTTGCGGGAAATAACCACTTTTAATGGCAACGAAACTGTAGCTCGAGATAGGTGTAGAGGAAACCACAGGTACCCTAACGATAACTCTAGCGACAATAAGGTCCCGTTTACCCTGCCCTTCATTTCAAATAAAGTAAGAGCAGCTATAAAACGCTGTTTAAGAAGGGCCGGTCTGGAGAATTCGCTTGCAATAATTGAAATGCCACCGAATAATCTAAGACGCCAGCTAGCTCGTAACCGCCTATACGACCGTCTATGTGCAACGCAAAATTGCATAGTTTGCCACAATGGTAGAGACGGTGACTGCATGAGTTCGGGTACAGTCTATCTGATCTCTTGTAAACCGTGCGGGGCGAATACGTTGGCGAAACGGGTAGACCACTCTGCGTACGTATAAAAAAACACCTAGTCGGCAAACGTAAGCCAAGTACTCCACTAGGCACGCATAGGACGCAGAGACATAACTGAGAAGAATTTGAAGTAGAGGTTACGCCTCGCGCAAGAATCGAGAACACAAGCGTGCAAAACTCTAGAGGCATTCTGGATTAATTCCAAGAATTTGAAAATGAGCCGCAGGGAGTGCCTCATTATTACGCGTGATATTGGGCAGTACACAAGCCTGTTATTCTGATGAGATGGGCACAATACGAGTCCAAGTGAACTCTGTGCGGTTGGTCTTCACGTGACATATTTGGTGGAAGACTCATAGAAAGCGGTGAGTGTGCAAAGACTTTGTGCTCAATGTGATTGAAATTTTGGTTCAGTATTTTCTCTGTTTGGTTATGGAGGTGTTTGGCCGAGTAGGTTATAGTCAACTTAACCTTTCCAGCCTCTGAGGAAGGCGAAATCGGTCGAAACGTCAACTTGTACGTAAATAAAGAAACAAAGTAACACCTCGTGTTTGCTGAACAGAAGTAGAAACAATAATAATATAATATGACAATAATATGTTATGATAATAATGATATGATATGTAGCATGCTATAATAGTAATAATAATAATAAAAATAATAATAATTTGAGCAAAGCAAAGTACTTAGAAATCCTGGCTTATCTTCTGCTAACATTTCGAGTTCCTCTCTATTTGCTATGCAAGCTCGAACTCATAGAGTAAGACAATACGAATTTTTTGCTTTGAGAATATCATTTCAAGAAGCCTAAACCATTGTAAATTAAGTGCTAAAGAAGAAACTGCAAAAAATGGAAAATGGTAAAGGAAGGAATACGGTTTACAAACACATGGAGCAACTAATGTGAGGAACAAATACTTAATGCAAGATTTATCTTCGAATTTCATAATGGCAGGATCAGCTCTTACAATCGACATGTCGAGCAGAAGAGATGATTTATAAAAGCCAAGGGCAATTTATATTAGTCAACAACACAAGCAACTAACTTCAAATCTTATTTGGATCCTTGGATAGCTCGTCCTCACTTGTTGTGTGAGCTCCAGCGTAATCTCCACTTTTCGGAGTTTTGCTGGCTTACCCACTGTGGTTCCCTGAAGTCGCGAGGTCAGCCTAACCAAAGTGCGTCCCATGTCGTCACTACCACAGGCAGTTGCGGGCCTTGCGGAAGGAGGGGAATTTAACAACATGCCACCAGTTTGATAGACTGACCAAGAGTTCCATCCCCTCGGGGTCGGCAAATTAGTACCAGGCTTGTCTGGGAGGACAGTAGCACTGGCTCGATACATCGGCAGCCCACCGCGAGTCATTGTAAAAGCCAGATGTGCATTTAGTCGCTTCCCACGATGCTTGATGAAGTCGAATGCATGGCGCATCCAACAAGGATTGGTGAACGTCAAGACCTTTATTATTTTTACTTTTTTACAAAGTATTTTTTCTAACGCTTTTTCGTTTCACAGGTCTTACTTTCCCGAGATAAATGGCGAGAGGCTGCTACATGTTTCTACCGCTATTTTCAATGTGCCAAGACACGGTTGGCTTTTGTGGAAAAAGAACTACTTTTAAGAGGATTATTGAATGAAGATCTGAAACGTGCAGTGAGTGCGTCAAATATGAAGAGGGTATGAGAAGCGAAAATGTGACAGACGAAAAAAAAACGAAAGAGTGTTACTCTAAATAAGTTTCATTAAAACATGCCCAACGACTCTTAATTTTGTACGGTGGCTGATCGATGTGAGCACTATTTTTCCGCCGGATGCAGTATGCATTAAAAATTGGTTTGGAGAAAGCTATTTATGAATTGCTTTCTATAGGCAGTAGCTTTCCATCGACCTTGTCTGTAATAACATTTGTTTTGGATAAGCTATCAGTTGGGCACGGAAAACTTACCTAGTAAGCGTTGTAGTAAAATAAAATGTGAAGGATATGCGTTGAAATAGGTGCGTATGGTTCATTCACATAGTCGTGCCTTCTCCACTCATCTGAGAGCACACATACACACATACAGAGGTTTTATTATTGACTACAATTTCGAGCATTCTTTTGTTCCTTCTTTATCTAAATTTTTTTATGGGTAAAANCGTGCAGTGAGTGCGTCAAATATGAAGAGGGTATGAGAAGCGAAAATGTGACAGACGAAAAAAAAACGAAAGAGTGTTACTCTAAATAAGTTTCATTAAAACATGCCCAACGACTCTTAATTTTGTACGGTGGCTGATCGATGTGAGCACTATTTTTCCGCCGGATGCAGTATGCATTAAAAATTGGTTTGGAGAAAGCTATTTATGAATTGCTTTCTATAGGCAGTAGCTTTCCATCGACCTTGTCTGTAATAACATTTGTTTTGGATAAGCTATCAGTTGGGCACGGAAAACTTACCTAGTAAGCGTTGTAGTAAAATAAAATGTGAAGGATATGCGTTGAAATAGGTGCGTATGGTTCATTCACATAGTCGTGCCTTCTCCACTCATCTGAGAGCACACATACACACATACAGAGGTTTTATTATTGACTACAATTTCGAGCATTCTTTTGTTCCTTCTTTATCTAAATTTTTTTATGGGTAAAAGAGAGGTCCTTGTAATTGGTAGTTCAAACGTGTCGTTACATAGCACACAGCGAATTTCAAAGATGTAGTTTCAGTAATATTCAACTTAATGCTTAATGGAATGACTTTTTTTGAACCACAGCAATAATAGTCAATATGTCCATCTACATATATATATATATATATACATATATACATAAATATAGATGTTCCTACGAATTGCCCTTCTTCACCCATTGAACAGCGACACCAACAACAATAAGATCTAACCAACCTCGCCTCAGCGAAATAAGGGCAGTTCATAGGAACATAAATGTTAAACCTCAATAAATTTGGGAATTATTCAGAACAGTGTCTAGTCCAATATCTACAGGCTGTTCAGTTAACTTTTTTTTTAGTTAACTTCAGCTTGGACCTCAACAGAGTGCAGTATCGAGGACAATGTTGAAGGTGCCATCGTTTATTTACAATTATTTCTACTATACACCTATCTAACATGCTAGTATACTTTTAGAGAATCTTCACGAACTTATGAAGGGTGCTATTTTCACATTGGAAGAGTTGGACAGCAGTCTCGAAGAAGGAACAGGTATATGCCACTATGACCCTTTGTACTATTCTGTTTTGAAAAATGTAGTCGCTAAAAACTTTTTCCTAATTTCTATATTTTATTAGAGCATAGCAAAGAATTACTGGATACTAGTGCCGCAGGTGGTTCAGTGTTTCGTTGTAATGAAGGTAACGAAGTGAGTGCCAATGCTAGTACAGTCATAGTTGAAGGTAAGTAGGAGTTACCATTAGAGAACCGTTGTAGGTTTTTTCCACACTGGTTAGGTCCGTCTTGTAGATTCTAGAAATTTACCAAAGACGTAGCAACTTATTTTCTTTGATCAATGTAAACCGTAGTTGTTTTAATTCAACTTTTTTCAATCGATACATTTGCGTTGGTGCTTAATTTTCGATGGTGAACCATGAAGAGCGCCTCTTCATCACACAATGTGAAAGTAACAAAACTATAACTGAAAATACAAATGATAACACAAAATGGAAGTGAACTCCATTCCTAGCACAAATACATGTATATATATGTGTGCACGCGTTGGTATATAAATGTACAAGGGTAGCGCAATGGTTGCAATCCCGTTCATGAAGAACATGCTGGTTCGACCTCGCCCCGAACTCACCTAACCCCTCACATCTTTAGGGTGGGAAATTGATACCAAATTTGTCTCGGTTCAACTCACTCCTTCAAATCCACTCTAAGACAGATATCCCAGGACTCGATGGAGAATCGACCCAACCAATATTCAAAGCCATCCATAAATAAGACAACAAGTCTCAAGCAAAGCTAAAACAACAAGTGAAAAATTCAAAGATTTCGTGGATGACAGACGCGAGTACATGGATAGGGCGCAGTGTATGCCAGGATCGCCACAGAGTATATGAGGATAGAAGCTGCTGCTGCTGATAAAGCTGTTGGTGTTGATCAATCCTTCAGGGATGCACCATGCATTCGACCACATTAATCATCGTTAGGGGTGACTGGATGCATATGTGGGCTTTACGATGACTTGCGGTGGCTTACCGATGTATCGAGCAGGTGCTGCTACCCTCCGAGACAAGTCTGGTGCCAGTTTGCTAACGCAGGAGTGACGGAAGGACCGGTGAGCCTGGGGCGCGGGTGTCAATCCAATGTCTATTGCAAGGCGCCTTCGACCACTGTGCTGCACCGCCCCCTATGTGAGGATAGATCCTACGGAATAGGAAAAACATATATAAATGTGAATACAAATAAGTGGTCATCATTGAGGTCATCTAGGAACAGTTCAAACGAAGACGAGAATCCCCAAGCAGCAGTAGAACTCACACGCGGGAAATTGAATTTTCGTAGATGATGAATGCGAGGAAAGACATCAATTGAGGAAATACTGGGATCCGCACAGTGTGATACATGTAGTGCTAGATCATTCAATAAGTAAATAAGCAAACTTTGAGGGTTGGGGCTACGGACGAGTCACTGCAAATCCTCTTTGGCAGCACATCCGCACTATTTAAAACATGGTTTACCTGGTAATACTACCCTGGAGTTCCTGTTGACTCTATATTCCCGCCGTTATCAAAACTGCATACAAGGAATACTAAGTTATGGAGCCACTTCTTCTTACATACTGTTCTGTAATGCTTGCTCTTTACCCTCATTAATTAACTGAAAGGCATTTAAATGTTATTTATTCCCTATTTCAATCCACCTAGTCAATCCTTTACAGAAGCAACTATCTGTTGTCATCAACGCTAATTGTTATCGCTGTGGTTATTTCTGTGTACTGATTTCTCTTATTTTTATATTGCGTTATATCATATAAAGGTTTAGTTGCCTGATGACAAAATTTATGTAAAAATGAAATAGAAGACATACAGAATAAAACTGCCTAACATAACCATAACAATGCTGAGATATTTGCAGAACTCCAGACCGCTGGTGTCTGCAATGGGAATTGAACCCGCTATTACCCTTTCCTGTCCTCAACATCATTATGGCTATATATTTCACATAATACCTACCATTATAAAAGAATAGCCATTAAATAAAAAAGTGACTACATTGTGATTTGAACGACATAATGTTTCAAGGCGACCTATTCTTTTCTTTTGGGAAAATTTTCAGAAAGCCTGAAATACATTTGTCACGTTGTCTTTATTGTATATGCGTGAAGGAAACGACAGCGCCAAATGGCGTAGAGATACAACTTTACGCATCCAAGTGACAATAATAACTGGACAAAACTTTCTAACGACACAATACAAGCAAATAAGTGAGATATATGCTTGAGATTACTAAAGGAAACAATGGACGTTTTTCAATCCTCGTGCACAACGCTGATGATATCTGTACGTTCAACATCTTCAAGACCACGCCGTGCTTCGAGTTGAAGAGTTACAGCTGCAAGGAAACCGGGAATTGAATGTCGCTCTCCGATATATCTGAAAATACAAATGATAACACAAAATGGAAGTGAACTCCATTCCTAGCACAAATACATGTATATATATGTGTGCACGCGTTGGTATATAAATGTACAAGGGTAGCGCAATGGTTGCAATCCCGTTCATGAAGAACATACTGGTTCGACCCCGCCCCGAACTCACCTAACCCTCACGTCTTTAGGGTGGGAAATTGGTACCAAATTTGTCTCGGTTCAACTCACTCCTTCAAATCCACTCTAAGACAGATATCCCAGGACTCGATGGAGAATCGACCCAACCAATATTCAAAGCCATCCATAAATAAGACAACAAGTCTCAAGCAAAGCTAAAACAACAAGTGAAAAATTCAAAGATTTCGTGGATGACAGACGCGAGTACATGGATAGGGCGCAGTGTATGCCAGGATCGCCACAGAGTATATGAAGATAGAAGCTGCTGCTGCTGATAAAGCTGTTGGTGTTGATCAATCCTTCAGGGATGCACCATGCATTCGACCACATTAATCATCGTTAGGGGTGACTGAATGCATATGTGGGCTTTACGATGACTTGCGGTGGCTTACCGATGTATCGAGCAGGTGCTGCTACCCTCCGAGACAAGTCTGGTGCCAGTTTGCTAACGCAGGAGTGACGGAAGGACCGGTGAGCCTGGGGCGCGGGTGTCAATCCAATGTCTATTGCAAGGCGCCTTCGACCACTGTGCTGCACCGCCCCCTATGTGAGGATAGATCCTACGGAATAGGAAAAACATATATAAATATAAATACAAATAAATGATCACGTGCTTTTGCATCTCCTGCTCCCATGGGCGTCCCTGTGATAATTCATCCTGCCCGATATCAAGAAGGTCGACTATTCCCGTCGAAGCATTATACTGTTAAAAGAGAAAATTATCAACAACATAATTTTTCGCAAATGATTTCGTCGCAAAGATGACAACCTTAAAGATAAATTGTTTTTCTGTCTCGTCATAGACAGAATTCACATAACATATTCCTTCCTCAATATCTTTCAGTTTGATTTGGTATCCTGTTAAAGTCGTACTTATTTCCCTGAAAGAAAGAATTATAACTAAATATTTTGCCAGTTTTAACAATTTAGAACTAGTAGCGTAAGCAGACCTCCCAGCGGTTTGCCACCTCATTATAGCTGGAAGGTGTTCCTAAGCATAGGGCTGCGATGTACAGCAGGCTCTTCCAAACTGAGAAAGAGTCCAAAGAGTCCGGCGTTTCCATCAGGAAACCCATCTAAGAGTAAACCAACACCAAAACCCACTACCGTCATGCTATGAAACTAGTCGCATGGTGGCAAATCTCACTCTGATCCACAAAGACGGCGACCGCCAGACTTTAGCCAGCCTGACCTCGAGATTCCAGGGATCCACAATAGCAAAGCTAGCAAAGCTCCAAAAAAATGGAAATTGGCGCTCGCGCAACCATTGAAGACGGGTCATCCAAGTACCTAAGTGAGCATAGGCAGATACATATGGACTAATGTATAAACACTACATCTCAAAACACTGCAAGCTTTCGACGTTAGGTAGTAGTTGAAAAAAATATTCGACAGAATTTGATGAAATCTGTGCTTTAAATGAAGTTTAAGAGAACACTGCGACGTAGCTAACACCACGGTTGTTACATTTTAATTCAACGCAGAGTACTCAACTTCGCTCCAGTTGAGCAAGCGATATTTCGTGATGCACCATCATAAACTATGCATGGAAACGGTAAAACCATCAACGGTTATCACCGCTGAAAACGCATTAATAGTCTGCGATTATGAAAATTTCCAAAAATCTTGAAGAAGATCGGCCTCGATGCGCGACTAAAACGCCACCTCGAGAACACGAACAACTGTGGACCATCGACTCGCATCACCGGCTCTGATGAAGTCAAAGACGTCGAAGAGTTAGCCGAAATAAACATATTTATCTACCTCGTGTAAGCTTAACAGTTTAAACATGTTGATTATTTTGCCACCGAGGTTAAATGACAATCGGTTTGAAAATTATCCTTAAAGTGTCTTAACGCAGTTGACGATTCCGATGGAATTTAGAGGGAAAACATTTTGATTTATCAAGAAGATGAGAGAAATTGAAAAAGCATTAGCCAACAGCTTCATTATAGTATGAGATACCTTCGTAATTACTGGAATATTATGCGGACATGACAAGTTAATATTCACCTGTACTTCTTTGCAATGTCTGCCTGAATGCGAATTGCTTGTTCTCTTTCACGTTCACTCTTCTTCAGTTGATTCTCAAGTGCACTAATGTGTTCTTCTCTGACTCGCTTCACTTCAGACGACTCACCAGTACTAATGCTTGTGTCCTAAAGCAAATATTTATATAATCACAAATGCACATAACTATGACAACAAAAATTCGTAATACAACCACAACGTTGCTGAGATATTTGCAAAACTCTGGACCGCAGGTGTCTATGGTGAGGAACGAACGCGCTATTGTCCTTTCCGAGGAGTAGCGCGTTCACCACCACACCATGCGGGTCCTTTGTTTCGGCTGTCTCTCAGCTATTTCTATCGATCTTTGCCACAGCAATCACCCGTCAAAGGTATAACATTGTGATTTCAACTACAGCCGCAGCTTAACTGGGTTCTATGCCTATTTGGGCGCCACCCGCATGGTGCGGTGGTGAACGCGCTACTCCCCGGAAAGGACAATAGCGTGTTCGTTCCCCACCATAGACACCTGCGGTCCAGAGTTTTGCAAATATCTCAGCAACGTTGTGGTTGTATTTCGCTTAGTACCCTGTCGTGAAATAATAGTAGGCAGAAAATAAAAAGGTATAACATTAAAAAATCGTAATATTAACATATCGTTACCGGATTAAGTTATACACGACTCACACGTGCCAGAAAATGGTTGCAATTTTCCGCTTTAAGCATAACTCTTAAATTTATTGACCAAAAAAAAATTAGAGTCTAAAGATCTTCGCCAAGAATTCACAAAAAGTGTAATTTTTCATATTTTATAAGCACAAGATATTGGATTTTTCCAAGCTACAAAATACACTTCGCGCATTTTTCTGTCGAAGACAATATCTCGAATAGCGAAGTGACCGAACGAGCTAGATTTTGCATAGCAAGAGATTTCAAACTTATTTTTGAATATTTAGAAAATTTTAGTTTCAATAAAGAGCAGAATTTAAACAACATTTTAGAAATCTTTCTAAAACAGGAAAAAAAGTATTTGTACCACAAGCGCGATATAGTGAAGAATCATTTAGAGGTATACCAAGACAGAGAATCTTTTATGTGTATATAAAGCACACTGGTTACACCAAACAGTCGAAGACAAGGTAGGCCGGACACGTAATGCGTATGAATGGCAACCGATGGACAAAAGCCGTTAGCGACTGGATTCCTCTGGATGTCAAACATACTGCGGGAATAACACCGACCCGATGGTCAGAGTTCTTCACAAAGAGCCTTGAAGAAAGATATGATGCTCGACGAGTCCCTAGGGCGAGCAGAACCCACTGGGCAACTCTTGCACGCGACAAGGATAAATGTAAGATTTACTGACCCCCGCTTGATTCACTCGACGATTAAAGGGACTACAGGTGATACAGGTGATACAGGTACGGAAAAACATGGAGGAGGACAGAGGAGGATATAGGAGCACTGTATTAATGTACTAGTGGGCCGCCATAAGTATAGGCTAGATACTCATTCGATCACCTCAGCGATACCGGTGTAGTCGAATGTATGACATATCCCGATGAATTTGATCAACTTTTATTTCTGCGCATGGATTCAACGCTACATGATTTCTTCGCCTTCCTCACGAATAGTGTTTAATGCTGGTCGAGTCGATTCTTTCCTCGCGATTCCTGGGATATGCGTTCTTGCTAAGACGAAGCCATGTATCTTAGACAGAACCAGCTTGACCTAGGGAATTTCCGTAGCGATTTCTGATCCCGGAGGGGAAAAGCTTGATGGACCTGGCGCAGGATCGAACCAGTGTCTAGGTGGATTGAACCGTCCATGTGAACAACCAGATCAATACTACTGTGCTAATCGGTAATGTTGAAATACGAAATAGAGTGGCGAGGAAAGCAGACCTCTTTCAAAATAAAGTCATTGGTCGAGGTACTGTATATAACAAGGATTATATTGCTATGACGATCTTATTCGAACACTCTAATGCCTTAGGACATTTACCACATAGGACTGTTGCGCTTCACTTTAGATCGAAGTAAGTTTTACCGCCTTGTGATTAGATTTCTCTTTTATTGCTGGTTTGCTTCGAACTGAATTTAGTGACAGAAATGTTGCACTACTAGGTTTCGATGACCCCATGAGGCGGTCGATGATTCCACTTTGCACTTCGTTTCTCAACAACGCCTTATTATAGCGAAATTTGGTAACGTCTTATTTAACAAAACAATGGAAAATAACTTGATAAAGCAGCAACGAATTTAAACGTCGTAGCTGAAATAGAAACCTCCCATAATCTAGTGTTCTTGATGTAAAAAATAACGAAGAAATAATTTGAACTAACGCACAGCTTTTCTCTTATGAAGGCGTTCTCTTTCAGCTTCTCCAAGACTGTTCACAGCACATTGCAGAGGATTATTACGCAGATGTAGTATCTGAGTTTCATTTCCGGCATCCGTAAGCGTAGTGGTAGCATTTTGCAACTTCAGCTCTACGTCCGCAATTTTTGACTGGCTCTGCGAACAACCAAAAACAATTACAACATGGGAAAACAACTACAATGAAACTTGGCAGCGTTTCGAATCGGTCAAACACCTCAATAAAACGAACTAATTACATGAATTCATAACTATATTTGGATGGCTACTACAATGCTGAGATATTTGCAAAACTCCGGACCGCAAGTGTCTGCGGTGGAGAACAAACGCGCTGCTGTCCTTTCCTGGGAGTAAAGCGTTCACCACCACACCATGCGGGTCCTTCGTTTCGGCATTATAACTACAGCCTCAGCTTAACTGGGTTCAATGCCGATTTGGGCTCCCCAGATCAACTCCGCTGACGGGTGATTGCTGTGGCAAAATATCGATAGAACTAGCTGAGAGAGAGGTGAAACGAAGGACCCGCATGGTGTGGTGGTGAACTCGTTACTCTCCGGAAAGAACAATAGCGCGTTCGTTCCCCACCGCATACACCTGCGGTCCGGAGTTTTGCAAATATCTCAGCATTATAGTAGTTATTTTTCGCAAAATACCCTACCGTTAAAAAAGAACAGGCAGTAAATAAAAAGGTTAAGAATATACTTGGATAGTTCCCAAGATCGAGTTTCCCTTAACCTCGGTATTGGATTATAAATCTATCGTTTTCTTCTTTCCCGCCAGGTTGTTATTCAGCACAGGTTTACTTCCTTACGTTTTTCCCACCGTTTTTCGAGGAGCTGCAGATTATGTAGTTATGGTTCAGATTTTCACCTTTCTGTTTGTTCTGTTGAAGCGCTTAAGCTAGTAAATTACGCATCAGTGTACCCTTCTAGACTCTGATGAAGGCGATGTGTTACACATGTCAGAAAGTAAACGTGTGATGAATAGCAACGTCGCCATTGCTGGAAAAAAGAGAACGACAGATTTATACTGGATACTTGGACGGCCCGTGTTAACTGGTTATGCGGGCATCAGCATCATTTCCATTTTTTCGGAGTTTTGCTGGTTTAAGTATTGTGGTTTGCTGGAATCCCGAGCTCAGCCTAGCCAAGGTCTGCCGCAGGTAATCATCAACAATGGCACTTGCCGCCCATGTGGATTAGCGTGAGATTTGCTATTATGCGGCTAGTTTGATAGATAACAGGGTGGTAGAGGATCCTGTTATCGGTTTAGTCTTATCTTTCTCAGCTTAGAAGACTCTGCTGATGGGATGAATCCCGCGTTGTACATCGCAGTCCAAGACCCAGGAACACCTCTTAACCACGATGAGATGGTACCTATTGGAGGGAATCATAACTATACTAATTTAAAAGTGAAAGATACCTCGCAAAGCTTTGATTCCAATGAACTAACATGTTCACGTAATGTAGCTACCTTATCCTGAATGCATAACAGCTCAGCATTCTTCATCTCGACAGTTCTGCAACGTTTTTCCTCTTCCATTAACAAACTTAATACCCAGTTCAATTCGATTTCGAGTTGAAAC